AGCGTCGCAGTGCCCAGCATGCCCACTCAAGCAAGAATAGAGATGCGCGCATCGCGTTCCATTTTAAGCCTGCCATTTGCTCCAGAGGGAGCGCGTTTGTTCCATTTAGTATATTCCCTTCCGTTGCCTTCCGCCAGAGTGGAGTGCTCCGGCGCCGAGTTCGTGCATCACTCTGAATACCCCAATGGGTGACGCCAATAATCTGGCATATTGATTGGGGGGGGGGGGGGAGAGTCCGTAGAGTTCTTTGCCCTGGCGTACTACTTCTGTTAGCTTTCTATTTTGTTAGGCTGCCCAATGGGACTCTCAGAAGTCATTTACAAAGGAGAGCATGGTTGATACGTGCTGCGCCTGGTTACACGACGATCCCAGCCGCTCACAAAAAATCCTGCCTTTCAATAAATTCATTCAATTAATTTTCTCAAGTTATCCTGACAGTAAGTTGGCCCTTATTGCCATAAAACTTATGGTCCGATATAAAATGTATTGAGCGTATTTCTCAACTTTAACAAGAATCATTAATTTTGTAGCAGATTTACTTTGTAGAGAAACTTTTCTTTATTATTTAGAAAGATGGAAGCATTCGAAACAGAAACAAGCGTCTGACTCGTTGCTAGTACTGCTAAGGTAAAGTATCATGGCAAGAATTTGTTGTGCGCGTCTTTAAAGGAGAACTCGGGAGCATTTTCAACCATATTAAGATAATGCCGTCTTCCAATATTATTGACAGGTTTGCAACAGCTATGGCGATTTATTTTGTGCAGACAGCTCGTCAGTATTTTTAATTATGCAATGAATGATGAGCCAGAGCAGAAACTGAAATGGAGAGCAGCTTTGTCCTTCATGGCGGGTATCAGACGACAACACAAAATCTGTACTCGAAACGTCATGGAATCCGCTACACACCACCGCCGCTGGCCATGCATGGTGTAAACATAGCTCACGTGCATGCGTTTACTGACGCGCGAAAAGCAAAATAGCTATGTCATTCAACGTGAACTCAAGCGGTACCAGCTCGTCTGAACTTGGTGACAAGTTCAGCGATAGTTGCAGCTACTTGAGCGTGGAAGCATTGCCTTTTAATTTAGACCTGCCGGCGCGTGACGCATTTGACGTCCGCCAATCGATATCCTCGTTGCCGAATATTCTGGTTGCTTAGTGCAAGACCCGACGTCAACGACGACTAACACGCTGTACGCAACTAACTAAACTTAACTGTGCTCGCGTCCTCATAACCTCGTAGAAAAAAGCACGCGCAGAACCATCTGCTGGACAACGCGGGGTTTTGTAAAAGAGTTAGCACTCGCGTCACATACGCAGGGTAGCGCACGTTTAAAAGTGTATTTCTATAAACCGCTGCCAACTTTTAAATTGTTTTCTTAACTAAATGATTTTCATTGTATAATTTGGCACATATGTCACATGTCATAAGAACACGTGTCAAACGTTATATCCTTGACAAGCACAGTTTGAAAAACAGTACAATCCATTATTCTTAAGCATATCATCACTTACCTAGAAAGCAAGCACGTTTTCTCACTATTTCAGCACGGATATCGAAAAGGTCTATCCACCGTTACGCAACTAACCAAATTAATACACTAACTGCCATCGACCATTGACCGTCAAAAGAAGATCGACCTTATTTCGCTCGACTTTCAAAAGCGTTCGTCCGGGTTCTGCATCAAAAGCTAATGAACTACTGGCGACAATAAGTGAAGGACCAATCACAAAATTGATTGCCGCATATTTGACCAAGCCAACGCAGTTTGTAAAAATAAACCAGGAAACATCAGAACTAACAGAAGTAATGTCAGGTGTACCGCCGGGCAGCGTTTTAGCCCCTATTCTATATCTTAATTTTATTAAAGATTTCCGCAGTCTATTGGAACGAAAAGCAACATTTTCGCGGACTATTGCATCATTTATTAAAAAATTGACTCTCCTTCGGACCATATTAGTTAAGCAATGCCGTTTTATCAGTGTCTAATTGGTGCACGACATGGCAGATGACCGTAAACGTTATAAAATCAGCCTTGTTAGGAATATCATATTTTGACTACACTATTGACGACACATCCCGAACTTCCCCAAAACAGCATAAGTACCTAGGACTAGTGATTTTCATGGACCTTAGATAGGAGGCGCACGTTAACTACGTTACATCTTCAGCCTCAAAAAATTATTTTTCCTAAAAAGACGACCACGTTCTGCACCACCTCAAACAAAACTCTTAGCCTCTAAAACCATGTATCGCCTATTATTAGAATACGCTAACTTAGTGCGGTTCCCGACCACAAATAACGTAATTAAAAAGCTAAAATGTGTACAAAAGAAAGCAGTTCAATTTACGTGCAATAAATACAGTTTGCTTGATTCACCCACTGACCTAATCGCAAGAGCTTAGTTACTGTCACTCGCACGCCTAAAAATGCTCTTCCAGCTTATTCATACGTAGTTAAGCATCAACAGCTCTAAATTCATATCTATTTCAGAAACCAGACAGTCACGCCACAAACATCCACTAACATTACAGGAATACTGTTTCAACACCAACTGATTCAAGTATTCCTTTTTCCTACAGTCAATTAAAGAGGGGAATAGATTACCTGCTTGTATGACTACTAGTAAAGATTAGAATACTTTTTTAGCTTTACAGGAAAACCATACTCGTGCCACTCATAGCTGAAATGATGTTTTTCCTATACTTTTTTTTTCGCTTGCGCAGTTCATAGATGCTTTCTGATAATGCAATGTTTATCAGAAGAATGCGAATAATATTATCTTCATGTATACCATTCACATTTTTTTACATAGGTTGTGATTTCATAGTCTTCATGTTACATTAGAGAACGTCCGTAGTCACACATTTCCGCATGTAAGTGCAAGTGTATCTATTGATTATTTGGGTTGTTTAGGTCTATTTATTTTGTATTTTGGTCGCCCTCCTGAAATATTCCCCATCGGGACTGGCAGTATGCAAAAATAAATAAATGAATAGATAAAAATATTAAAATCAGTGAATATCAAAAATTGACAGAGTTCCCAATAAGTACACGCGGGGTTCGTAATACAGGTTTGCACCTGAGGCAGCTCAAAATTGAGAAGCATTTTTTTTCTTCCTCCTAAGCCTATGTATTAACATGGCCCGCCGCCCACCTAAAGCTTTATGCATGGTTTTGTGCTGCTTCAGTGGTCTGCTGCCTGCGTTGTCGTGTATTGACGTGAACTTGAGGCGTTAGATCACGATGACGTCGGAAAGACCTCAAGTGATGATTTGCCTATTTTTGACGTCATCATGGCTTCACATGGTGACGTCAAGACTATAAATATTGCTACAAATATACACTAGAGGCCGCATATACACTAAATGTCCCATATACACTCTAGCTCCAGTGTATATGGGACCTCTAGTGTATATGCGGCCTCTAGTGTGTCTATGGGAGCTGCAACGCATGGCGTTTCAGGCAGCACGGGAACGATGGGTAGCACACAGATTTGTCTAATCTTTCTTTTTCGGGCACCGTTTGGTCTCGCCTGGCCAGGAACCACTTTGTCACCAGACGAGAATCAGCAAACGTTCAGCAGTTACGCTTCACCACCTTAACTGCTTACGCTTACTAATTCAATAACGGCCACAAACTCCACAATAATGCGTACATTTATTTAAACCAAAATTAAAACACACTGATAATTAAAGCCACAAATGCGTGGGAAGCCGTCAAGATCCGTGATTCCCACGGTAGCGCCGGAGTGCCCTCTAGTTTTTTTTCTTTAGAAAGCGATAGATAAGACATCGTGTTGATTTATTTTCATCCCTCTTATTACCTACGCAGCAGCACGTCGACGTCAACTGCCACTTTTCGCGTCTCATGAGGCATCTAAAGCGTTTGTCTTAATATCTCTATGCGCATGTTTAGACACGCGCGTAGAGATAATAAGACAAATTGTTTCTGCTTTTGTAGCACGAAAATACGGTAGTATGAAATGGAGTTATTTTTTTACGCACTTAAGCAATCATATGCTGTCTCTACAGGAAACCTTTGTGTTCATCAGCCCCTATTACACGTTAAAAGGCGATTCCAGTAAAAACATAAGTTGTTAAACCACAGTGAATTTTCTTGGCGGCTGTTAGATTGAAGTTTGACTTCCACGTTTAAAAGCAAAAGGTCTTAACTACTGGTTACGAACATAGGCTCTTGAATCATGAATTTAATGAACTATTTGAAAACCTCACAACAGCTGTGCAAAGCAAATGTAAAACGAAAACACCTCCTGTGAGGGCTCGATTAAATTTAACAGCATTCGAGTAAAAGCATTTTCTATGACAAGATGTATTGCTGACATACCTGTCAGAAAAATTTAGACTGCGCGAAAGTTCGCTGTCAAATATATTCATCGATTATTACGGGAACGTGCCACGCATGGGGCCGTTCCAGATTCTACCAAACGCTAAAAAACTCCCACCAGACGCCATGCCAATGTTGCACGAAGACAAAGCTCTAGATAAGGCTTCAATTTACAATAAATAAAATTACGCTTGCGCAGACAACTCCCACATGATGCTCTTACCGGGCTTTTCTTCTGTTCTGTTAGCTTTTCCAAAAAGCAAATGACTTTTATGGTAAGTGGGGTGTGTGCCTGTAAGCGATTCATAAATAGCAATCCTAACACCAAAAAATGACACGGAATGCAGAACGAAACAGCACGAAGTGGTGCGGACCACTGTTTTAGCTTAAGGAGATAAGAAATACGTCTACACAGTAACACAACAAAAAAAGACGATAAAAAACACAATACAACAATCCGCAGGGATGGTACACAGAGGAGCCACGCACTTAAAGGAGCATTCTGGGTAACTAGAACTAACGGTGAACTAACGCTATCACCATGCCCATAGCAATCACTTCGAGTTGTTTATCTGTGTCATGATTGTTCCTGTTGTAAGTTTGCCGAATGCAATCTCTTTCCCAGTGAATTATATTGTGCTTAACTTTCAGGCTTTCCTTTCCCCGTGGTTCCCGTGTTGGTGGTCATCTACAGTGGCTGCCATGTTTCCCTGGACGTGGCCGAATGGGAAGCGTCGGCAAACTCCAAACAGATTCGTTCTGCGCCGTGAACCGCCACACCACAAGAAGTTGCAAAACAATCTCGAATCTCATCCATCGCTTCTTAAACCATTTTTGTTCCAATTTTTTATCTTTATTTTTTTTTCTCTTACCCCTTTTTGACATGGTATCTCTACTTCAAGACGCAACCAACTTTTGCCAATTCTGTGCCCTATTGGAAACAAATAGAAACAAAACACTAAGCTTATTATACATTAAACACTCTTATTGTCTCAAGCTTCTTTGTATCGATTCGAGATCAGATGGTCTGATATACGCATGATCACTTCGGGGAAGTCGCTACACTCATTAACAAGACAATGATTGAGGGACGTACTTGTCGGCGAAAATTGTCACATAGGCCACACCTATGTCACGCATGCAAATAGCTGAAATAAATATTTCTCGCGACCACCTAGGAATAACAATGCCACAGCTGCGCACCAGCTGGCTTGACCTCACCTAGCCGCTCATGCACCGAGGATCAGGCACAGCCAAGCCATACCCACAGTGGGACACAGTTCACGCAGTCGCTGCACCGAGTGTGATCGTTGTTATGATGACGATATGTGGGTTTTTATTTATGGCGCAAGGACCATGCTTGATAAAAGAGCGCCATGAACAATGATGAGCGAAAAGCAATGGTACGTAATTGAAGTGACATGAACGGGATATGAACAATGACACTGTTGCGTGGCTGTAAAGAGGCTTAAAATTCAGCGCTCGGAGGCGGGGTAAAACTCAAAGATATTAAGATCATGGCGGTGACGTCAAACGTTTGAACCCGAAATGAATGAGAATGTCGGTGGGGCCGCGACCATTGTACAGAGGTTGAGTTACGGGTTTCCTCAAGACGTGGGGCGAAAACTATATACATCTTCTAAAAACGTAAAAAGCGATTGAAGTTTAAAACGCTGATCCCTACGGACGAGCATGACAGGATGTAGTGGGAGCTTCTGTTGGTATGGCAATAAAAAGTGCTTTTCGCTTAGAGAATACAAATTACTACACTGAAATAGGGCGTGAAGAACCGTAAGTGGATCTCCACACCTCTCAAATATGGGTTGGTCACCACCAGGCAAAAGGTATGAATGTGTAAAGTGTGTTCTATAGCTAGCCTCGTAAGCGTTACTTGCGGGTAGCGTGATCTGGATACTGGTGACCAATGTCCAAGTATGGGTTTGACAACGTGTAGTTTGTCGTCTGCTTGCTTATCTCATAGGTGCTGCCAGCATTAGCTCCCGTCGTGGGAAAGGTTTCATGTCAAGTGCAGGGACAGTCATGGATGTACTGACGGGTACGTGATCGTGCGCAGACGCAGCTAGTTGGTCCCCCAGCGTGTTTCCAGCGATCTCGCGGTGCCCTGGCACCCAGCACAATACGGCATGTCGTTTGAGGGCATATATCGCGCTCAAAAGAGAGTAAAGCGACACATAGACAAGATTTTTGTGTCTTTTGAGTGTTTTCAAAGCTGTTACGACGCTCAGCGAATCTGTGTGTACAACCACGCGTTGTAGTTGTAATTTCTCCATATACCGGACAGTCACGCATATCGCATGGACTTCTGCGGTGAAAATGCTTGTTTGAGGGTACTTGGGAGTTTGAAAACGATGGGCCAACAGGTACACAAGAAACACCAGTGTAATACTTTGACACATCTTTAAGTAATTCCGGATGTGTGTACTTGTGTCGGAGTTCGAGCAATTGCATTCATGCGAATATGTGTTGTAGGTGCCTGTTTAGTAAATTTGACGAAAGATAGGTCGAAGTCTATAACCTGCCACTGCCACGGCGGCAAACATGCTGCGGGAGACATCGAACGATGTTCTAGAAGTGGCACGCCTGTTTCCTCGGCGAGGCTCCACACAAGGAGTGAGTAGGGCTGTCTTAGTGAAGGACGGTTGTTCAACAAGGTGGAATTGGATAGATCATTAATTGTGGGTTGAGTAGAATATTCCTTGTCTGCGCTAACCTTTAGGTAGTACACAAAATAAATGTAACATCCCTGCAGATGGAGCAACCAATAGTTTGATTTAGCGTACAGGCTTTTCATGGTACTAGTTCGAAAAGCACCCGTTGAAAGGAGGATGCCTAGATGGTGTACAGGGTCTAGCATCTTCAAGGTTGATGGTGTGAGTGTGCTCCTTGTGGTGCAGGCCGATTACAGTCGATAAAACACCCGCACTTCTACTGTATGTGCCTTTACCAGGTTTAAACATTAGTTTTTGACATTGGAGTATGAACATTCTGGCATGGTCTGGAACCATCTGTGACTTCACTCTACTCCGTCTACGCCAAGGAAAGGTCTAACATTAGCCCGCGTTGAGCACACCCACGTTGAGCACATAATATTCACCAGCTTGGTTGTTTCTTAAGCTTTACACGAGTAGCGTAACCTTATTCGTTATTTCTTCTTGAAAATTTTTGCTGCCAAATGATTACCAAAGTAATGGACACATTTTGTGAATATGGGTGCGATTTGCTGTATGGCTCTTCGCCCCAACAGCCGCATCCGGCAGACGTCCTACACGTTCTAACCTCATGCGGCGATGATTCGCACGCCGCATGGGCATCCAACTTGCTACGTCTAGCGCTACCGCAGCAGTCTGGCGGCCGCAGATGGCAGCGCAGGAGCGCGACAAAAGTTGCGACTGGTGGGCGCCAGTCTTTGGTCCATTCTTCGCCATTCCGATAGTCCCGATCATCCTGGTATTTGTAGATATTGCCGTTGCCGGTGGCATGAAAAATATAGGATAAACTGTTTGTGGCGTGAAATAAATTATGATTGAATGAATAAATGCTTCAAATGTGTCATTCATTGAAGGCAACGTCTGTTCCCTAACCTCAAACAATCAATATCAAGCCGTGATGGTCGGGTTTTCGCAGGTAAAGAAACAATGGCACCGACCGGCTCGGAAATCCAGCCCGCTTCGCTCCGGCCTTTGCTCTTTACGTTGAGGCCGTTGAAAAAATCATTTGCGCGTGTGAAAGCGTCATATAAGCGTACAAGATCTTGTGTTGGCAAAAAGAAGCCCTCGACAATAAGATCCTGTTGGAGAGCGAGAAGTGCTACCGAGAACGTCGGCCTAGCTATAGGCATAATAAATGACGTAGCGCGTAAAATATGTGACACAAAACAAGCAAAGAAGCAAGGAGGGGGGGGGGGGGGTAAAGGGGACAAAGGGGAGTCAGCTAGCTATACTCTAGTCAACCAGCTATAGGCCTGCGCTGGGAGTCATGAATGATTGTGGGCTGCGGCGATTTTTGTCGCTCGCAAAAGCGTACCGTTGTTGCCAATGCTATTACAGAACGAACCATGGCTGTGTGAGGCGGTTCGTTTTTTATTCTTAATAAAGAGAACACGGTGTCTTCCAAGAGTGCAAGCTGAGGTGCCGTATGTGGGTGGAGCCTGAGCGCTAATGGCTCGTTCGCTCCCATGTGTCGTGAATCATCATAGTATGCCGGATGAGATTTCGAATCGCACAATGCTACGAGCACTATAGATTTCGAATGGTCCTTCAGATGGGCCTATGAAGAACTGTGGTATGACTGGTTTGCGTATTGATTAGATGACTATTTGTGTGGTAAATTTACTTAAATGCTCTAAAATACACTAAGTCTATAAAGTACTGTACTGCTTGATTTTTTATACTAAAGTTTGTTTCAGAACACTGGTATCAATTTATATAAACATAGGGCATCTGTAGCCAGTTGATCGTGCGGGTCTAAGTAGAGTTACGTGGGAGCACTTTTAAGTTGTTTTGACCATTGAAATGATGGAAGCGCTAACGCACGGCATTTTTAGAAAGTATCTGACGGTAATGTCGCTCAACAGTGTACAGCAAATAGCGTTTGACGAGGCTAAAGTGTTTCGAAATGATTGGGACGTATGAACACAGCAATGCGCCGAATCGTGCCGATTTCTGTAATTTCAATGGCTGGCGAACATCCGCGAAATGTAAGAATTACCGTGGTGTATTGCTTCGCTGTCATTGATGTATGCTCTGTTCACAGTTGCAATGACCTGCCAAAGTTTCTTTTTTTCCCTCTCATATACTGTCAATAGGTTATACGTATCTGAATTATTTACCATTTTCAGTCACTATTTACACTTGCTGTAAATTACATTCAGATTATGAGCCTTTTGGACAGGTGTTCACTACACAGTAGTCTATCACTTTGCAGTGCACCAAATTCACCATGAGGAGAACCGTGCCTGAGGGAGCGACGTTCGTTATTTACGCAGATGTCTCTGTCACGCGCGAGCTCATTTTCGACTCCAGCGGTGGCAGTACCGCCAGCGCAGCCGATCGAATGACATGCATAAGACGAGACGAAAGAAAACGATCAATGTAGTGGGGGCATTTACGTAGTTGCACACATACCAGCAGATTCGTGAGCGCATCATGTGTGTCTTCGTTGTTGACCTGACTGTGCTACACAGAAAAAATGAAGTAGAAGAGGTCATGCTATAAAATGCGTACTCGATCACTGATCGTCTCTAAATTAGTAAATTTATTGAGGGGGTATGCATGAATATCTTTATTGAAATCATACATTGGAGGAACCTTGAGAGCTCTGAGGTTATTGCAGCAAGTTCCTTCCTGTTTCCGCCATTTTTCATTTCCTATCGCTTCTTTCGCACAATGCTGCAAGATGCTGAACTGTTGTAAATGCTCTAGACACATGCGATTAGGTACAAGGCAAGCTGCTTCTCCCCGTATCTTGGACTCCGTCTCTTTATCTTTTATTCTAACCCATCTCCACCAATGCAACTCTTCCGACTGTATTTTTTGTTCAAGAAATGGCAATGGGCTTCTCTGTCCGTATCGTTACCTACTGCAAGCTACCCTAAAGGCTCAGAAGTTAGATATCACCGCTGAACAAGGACTCTCAACAGTTTTTTTTTTCCTTCAGCAAAACCTTCGCCGATGGCAAAATTGTTTCAAGCCAGCAGTATCAGTGAAACCAGCAACAGCTGTACACAGCGCGAAACTTACACTGCGTAAAACTTTGCCTACGTCGTCACTGAAAGCACCCCGGTGGGCAGATGCGTAAAGCGTGGTGGCGGTGGTATACTTGAAGCGCACGCATTTC